GCCACCCTGGGATGCCTTTTCTCACTCTCACTGCTGGCCACCCTGGGCTGCCTTTTCTCACTCTCACTGCTGGCCACCCTGGGCTGCCTGCTTTAGATCCAATAACAGCAATAGACATTCCACGGTCCAACCCAGATATCACTATGATAGCTCAACAATACAGATTAGCCCAAAAATTGTAAATTATTGCTTCCTCCTATCTACCAATTTACTTGCACTTATCAGTAATCTTCTAATATTTCAGAACAATATGTGGATAACAAACCAAAGAAACAAATCTTTAGCCCTTAAGGGAATTCTCCCTACCTCACCGCATTGCTGTGTCCTTGATGCTGGGGAATGTTTGCTACTGCCTAGTTAAGTGCCTAAATGGCACTTAATTCAGTGGGATTTCTCAAAGGCATCATGGAGATCTCGCCAGCTTTCTCGACATTGGCTCCATTATATATCACTGATCCAATCTGCTCAATGGGAGTCCAAAACTGCAAACATTTGCAAGTATCACTTACTGTGTTCTTTCCTTATACAACTGCTTCAGTATAATAGAATGTTTAGTTTTCACTTGATTTCAAATGGACATACATTAAACACAAGATTTTTTTTAAAAAAACTGATACCCAAAACAAAGGATTTTATCTCTAGGCTTTAAAAGATTCCAATTAAATGGGGATGAAATTAACCTTGGATGGCTGTGGAAAATGGAATGCATCAAATAAGCGGCCTACTTTACACCTGGCTTAATTTTCTTTTCCATTGTGACTGACGCTGACCTGGGCAATACCTTGGACTAAGAATTCATTACCACCCTTTTCAAATTCCATGCCCTTGTCAATTTCATTCCTAGTGAATTTAGCCTGATCAACTTGGTTTGCTATTCTTGTAGACTTGACCATAGGATTAAATTTTCAGGAGTGGTAGCTTTCTGAAACCTTTTAAGGCTACTTTTATGAGACTATGTTCCTGGTGTGAGTCTCCATAGTAACTGATATAGATCATGAAATCAGTTTTGCAGTGTGCATACTTTTACAAGGTGCAGTTTTGAGGCTGTGCTTGTTATGTCTTGTGGTTCCCAGAAATTGACAATAGTCACACCTTTTAACACAAGTACTGGTGCGGACATTGAGAATATTTGTTTCCCCAAATTTCTGAAAGCTGTGGAATAATACATTACTGCTTTGGTGTACTGACTATAGTGCATAGTGTCACACAGTATAGAAGAGGTCGTTTTTGTCCATTAAGTGTGTACCGCCAAAGATGTACTACTACCTACACTTGTCCCACTTTCCTGGCCTATAACCTTGAACATTACTACACTTCAAATACTCATCTAAGCACTTTTCAAAAGTTGTGAGGTTTCTGTCCTCAATTACCCTCCCAGGCAGTGTGTTCCACATCCCCACTGCAACTGGGTGAAAACATTTTTTCTCAAATCCCCTCTAAACCTCCTGCCTTTCACTTTAAAATTATGCCCCCTTGTCATTGACCATGTGACTAAGGCGAACAGCTGCTTTCTATTCACCTTGTCCACGTCCCTCATAATCACATACACCTTTATCACATCCCCTCTCAAGCTTCTTTGCTCTATCTGTTGCATTATGGATACAGATGTATACATGTGCACAATAACATAGTTTCTAACTCTTTACAGTGGTTTTTAAATGAATAATTCACTCAAGGCTGAATTTCACATTGATAAAAGTAGGACATTCTGGGACACCATGAGCAAGATTAGCATTTATTGCTCATAGAGAGGTCTACAGCATGGAAAGAAGCCCTTCAGCCCAACTGCATATGCTGTCCATTTTTTACAATTTAAACTAGACTTATTTTCCTGCATTTGGCACATACCTATCCTATCAATTTACCTGTCTAAATGTTTCTTAAATGATGAAATTGAATTCACTTCCATAGTTTGCCTTTGAAAAGATGGAGGTGATACTTCTTCATTCACTGTTGCATTTGCAGAAGCCAAAGTTATCCTAAAAAATATGTACAATGGATTGCATCCTCGCTTTTTGATCATCATAACCGAGGACTTGTATCAGATAATTTTTGTAATATCTCACATGATCTCAGGCGTCCAAAAGGACCATAGAGCCAAGGAAGAACTTTGATGTATGGTCATTGCTACAATCTATAGTAACACAGCAGCTAATTTGCACTCATCAATGTTCCCCGTTAAACAGTGAGAAAAGTCACAAATTCTGATCAATTTTCATTCTGTTGCTTGAGGGGTGAATGTCGAGTAACATACCAAACAAAAATGAAGTTATGCTCTTGAAGAATGGTATAGTCGTAGAAGTAAAAATTATATTTTCAAAACATACCAATAAGGATTAATGGTTAATTGGACATGACTGCAAGCAATTGAAATGAATTGGAAAAGTACTTGGAAAACAGGCTGAATGCAAAAGCAGCCTGTTTTGACTGAGGTGACCATGTGACAATGGAGCCACCTGGAGATGTTTTTCTGTAGAATAGAATGCCTGGAAAGGTACTGGAAGTACTATGAAATGGTGATACACGATGTAATCTTTGATTCAGAAGAGTACTAATACAGGTAGCTCTAGCGGTAGTTGCGTTCTTGCGTAACCTCACGTTATAGAACATTGCCATAGGATATCGTGTTAAAGGGAAATCGCTATAGAAAATTTGTACAGCAGAAAGTTTGCGTTATCCAAACAGCGTCCACTATTCCTCAATCGCGTTACAGTCAAGTAAGGGTTTTTATATACGTTTACTACTTAATATACACTTAAATAAATTTACTGCTTAAAATATACTAATTAATATCCTATATGTAACTATCAATAAATGTGTTAATTTGAATCGTTTAATCCATAGATTTTTTTTTGTTAACTTTCCACTATTGAAGCTTAACAAATCGTTATTCTATACAGTTACGCATAACACAATAATCAGAACTAATTGTAACAGATGTCTTATATAATTGTTGCACCACAAGATGTCACTATTTCTCTTGCACTGTACCTACAGGTAGGTCTGCTTGTTATAGCTGGTTTTTAATAAATTATGGCCTTTGCACAATTTGAAAACCTGTATGTACAATCTAATGCGATTACTTGTAGCATTTGTTCTACTTGTTGCTGAGCATTTATGCACATGTATTATAGCAGATTCCCACTAATCCCACAGATCTGAAGTAAGTGCAGGATTTATTATAATTTTCTGTCATTTCCTCATGTCATCATTGTAATAGCATCCTGAATAATCTTACAAATTCATATGCACTTTCACTGACAATGCGTTCTATGCTATATGCATAATCAGTGATTTAGATATTTAATTTTCTAATGAACTGTTGATCTCCTGCTGGGTTATTCATGAAGGAAAAAATATTCTAACCTTTTACAAGCAAGAACATAAGACAAAAGCAGCAGGGGAGGCTTAATGGTCCCTGCAGCTTCACCCCATTCAATAAGATCACGATTATGCTTTTACATCTTGTATCACCTGATTACCTTAATTCCTGCAAATCTATCAGTCTCGGTCTTAAATATATTCAACAATTGAGCATCCATCGATTTCTGGGCTAGAGAAATTGAAATTCTGACAACTGAAAAACAAATGCAAGATATTTGGAATATCATCATTTGCATGTTGTTTTCTTCATCAACATCATCCTGACTTGAACAGCTAACTCTGTTCTTACAGGTTCCTTGGGTCAAAATCTTGGAATTCCCGACCTAGCCATATCTTCTATGCACTATCACTGCAAGGATACAAAAACTGAAGAAGAATCCCACTACTGCCACCTTCTTACACCAAGAGGTGTTTATTAGTGTTGTCCAGACCTTAAGTACAATTAAAATTTAAACAGAGTGTTTGAGTGCCTGTCTCTCCAGTCAAGAGGTAGCCGAATCAATACTGTTTTACAAGCTGAAATCCACGTGAGCACATTTGCAGTGAATGTTGACTGCTTGAGAAATTTTGGCTCAAAGTTGGCGAGCTGGAATCCAAACAGCGGACACTGCGACACATCAGGAGGGATAGGAGTACCTGGACTCTGTGTTTCAGGAGCCAGTCACATTTCTTACATTGACTACATCAAATTTGATCTGTGGTCAAGGACAGGAAGTGTGTGACTGTGAGTGAGGCAGATATGGGGATCCAGAATTTAGCTTTGGAGCATGTATTCCTTATCCAATAGGTACGAGGTTCTCATTCCTGATGTGGGCGAGGGCACAGACTCCAGGGAGGATGGGTGAACTAATAACAGCACTGTGACCCAGAGTGGCATTCAAGTCACGGGTGGGTTGCAATGGTTGGAGAAAAGCGAGATGTGGTAGGGACAACATAATTAATAGAATAGGTACTGTTCTCTGAAGCAAAGGCAGACGGTTCCGATTACTGGTGCCAAGATTCATGTTACCTCCACTGCTGGAGAGGATCTAAGAATGGATAGAAGGATCTTGTTGTCACAGTCCACAATGACAGGCATCAATTACATTGGTAGGACTAGGAAATGGGCTCTGCTGACGGATTGCAAGTATCTCCGGATTAAATTAAAAAATGGAGCCACAGAGATAATAACCTCCGAATTAGTGCCAGAGCCAGGCACACATTGTTTAAGTGTACATAAGATTAGAAAGGTAAATGCATGTCTCAAAGATTGGTGGAGGAGAACTGCCAACAATTCCTGGGACACTGGCACCAGTACAGAGGAACGGGAGAGCTGCTCCATTGGGATAGATTTGTTTTGAAATTCGCTGTCTTGGCAAATCATATATCCAGGGCTGTAGATAGAGCCTTAAAGTAATTAGTGGGTGGGATGGTTCAACTGAAAAGATGTTTAACAAAGCAAAATAAAATGAGAGAGAGAAAGGCACAGGGTAGTGAAGAGGCAAATGATAATCAAAATGTGACAGGGAGAGGTAGAAAATGTACAAAAATAAGTGCAGCAGAAATTAGAACCAGAGGAAGTAATAATTGGAAGAAGTCAAAACTCAAAGCTCTTTATCCGAATATACACACGCACTTTGTAACAAGATAGACGAGTAGTTGGCACAAATAGAAATAAATGAATATGACTTGACAGCTATTACAAAGACTTAGTTACAGAGTTACGAGGACTGGGAACTCAATATTCAACAGTATGCTGGAAGAATAGACCAGAAAGAAAAGGAGGTGGGGTGGCTTTGTTAATAAAGGATGGTACTGATGTGGTGGTGAATTGTAATATAGTATAAAAGATAGTAATGTGGAAGCAATTTGTTTGGAAATAAGGAATAGCAAGGGAAAACAGTCATTTGGGAGTTGTTTATAGGTTCTAGAAGAATTGCTTCCTTTTAGCTCAAAATATAAATTTGGGAAATAATGGAGGTATTAAAAAATGGCACTACAATTGTCACGGATGATTTTAATCTGCATATTGACTGGACAAATGAAATGAGCAAGAGTAACATGGAAGTCAAATTTGGACACTGCATTGGACATTGTTTCTAACAACAGTACAATGCAGAACCTATTTGGCAACAGGCTATTTTAGATCTTGTAATATGTGATCAGGTAGAATCATTAAGATATCTTTTTAAGGATCCTTTAGAGGAAAGCATTCAATTTGTGGTAGAATTTCAAATTCAAATTGAGGGGTAGCAATTCGGGTCTCAAAGCAATGTCCTTAACTTAAATAAATAAGGGTATTGCTGAGGTATGAAGAAAGACTTGTCTGAAGTGGAATACAAAAATATACTAAGGGTAAAGTTAGTAGATGAGAAGTAGTAGATAATCATAGAATCCCTACAGTGTGGAAACAGGCCATTCAGCCCATCAAGTCACACTGATCCTCCGAAGAACCTACCACCCAGACCCGCCTCCCCCCTACCCTATCCCTGTAACCTTGCATTTCCCATGGATAATCCATCTAACCTCCACATCCCTGATATGGGCAATTTAGCATTGCTAATCCACCTAACCTACACATCTTTGGAATGTGGGAGGGAACCAGAGCACCTGGAACAAAACTACCCAGACACGAATCCACCCTCGGGTGACTGTCTGTGGAGTTTGCACATTCTCCCCATGTCTGCGTGGGTTTCCTGCGGGTGCTCCAGTTTCCTCCCATGGTCCAAAGATGTGCAGGCTGGGTGGATTGGCCATGCTAAATTTCCCATAGTGTACAGGGATGTGTAGATTAAGGGGGATGGGTCTGGGTGGGATGCTCTGAATGTCGGTATGGGCTTGCTGGGCCAAAGGGCCTGTTTCCACACTGTAGGGGTTCTATTAAAAAAAACATACAAACTCCACACAGATAGTTGGCTGGGGGTGGAATTGAACCCAGGTTGCTGGCACTGTGAGGCAGCTGTACTAGCCACTGAGCCACTGTGCCATCCCCTAGTTAAGCAGATACTTCATAATGTGAAGCTTGAAAAGCACAGTCAGTCAGACAGCATCTGAGGAGCAGGAAAATCAAAGTTTTGGGCCAAAACACTTTGTCAGGCCTGGGGAGGGGAGCCCATATGTAAATAGAGAGGGGGGGTGGGGCTGGCGGAAGTGTAGATGGGATGGTGATAGGTGGATGTAGGTAGGAGGTTATTGTGATTGATCAGTGGGAAGGGTGAAGCGGGTAGGTGAGTAGGAAGATGGACAGGTTAGGTCAGGTCAGGAGGGGGTGGGGTGGACATGGGATAAGCATGGGTTCGGAGGGGTTTTGAAGCTGGTGAAGTCAATATTGAGGCCATTGGACTGTAAGCTCCCAAGGCAAAATTTCAGATGTTGTTCCTCCAGTTTACATTTGGCCTCACTCTGACAGTGAGGGAGGCCAAGGATGGACATGTCACCAGGGGACTGGGAGTTGAATGGATGGAAACCAGAAGGTCAGATTGCTTGATGCGTGCAGTGCGCAGATGCTCTGCGAACCAGTCCCCAAGTCTGTATTTGATCTCCCCCGTATGGAGGAGACCACATCGGGAGCAAGAGATACAATAAATCAGGTTGGATGAAGTGCAGGTGAATCTTTGCCGGATCTGGAAGGATTGTTTGGGGCCTTAGATGGAGGTGAGAGGGGAGGTGTAAGGACAGCTGTTGCAACTCTTACAGTTGCAGGGAAAGGTGTGGTGGAGAAGTTGGTGGGTAGTGTAGAACTGATGTGGGAGTCGCAGAATGAACAGGCACTGTGGAAAGCAGACAGGAGTGGGCAAGGAACTATCTTTTTGGTGTTGTACTGCTCAGCAGATATCTATTCCAATCAAAAAGAAAGATGAGATGAGAAGAACGATCCACCCTTGTTAAACAAAGGTGGTTCTAATTTTAAAAACTAAGGTAAACAAAGCAACAAAAACTGATGATAGACTAGAGGATCAGGAATGTTTTAGAAACCAAGAGCAGATGACGAAAAAGCAAACAAAGAGGGAGAAAATTGATTATGAAAATAAATTGGCAAAAAATTAAACAAAATCAAGAGGTTCTGCAAGTGCATAAAAAGAAATGGAGGATCTAAAGTCCGTGTAGACCCCTTGGAGGATGAGACTAGGGAATTAATAATGGGGACCAGGGAAATGGCAGATAATTTAAACCAAATTCTGTGTTGATCTTCATGGTGGAGGTCACTCTAAACATTTCAAAGGTAACAGCTAAGCAAAGGGCTAATGGGAGGAAAGATCTCATCAGTGTCTATCACTAAGAACAAAGTATTTACGAAACCTATGGGACTGAATACAGACAAATAATCAGGACCTGATTGCTTGCATCAAAATGATCTAAAGGAAGTTTCTGCAGAAGATGGTGGAGGCATTGGTTGAAATATGTAAGAATTCACTCACTTCTGGGAGGATTTCATCAAATTGGATAACAATTAATGTGATGCCCTGTTCAGGAAGGGAGGGTGACAGAGTTCAGGACACAGTAGACCAGTTAGCTTACCATCAGTCATTGGGGAAACACAAGGGTTCATTATTAAGTAAGAAAAAGCTGAAATTTAGGTCTTTTTTATTAGGCAGTTGTAGTTTAAAAATAGTGGAGTCTTGTTACAACTATGTACAATGTTGGTGAGTCTACACCTGGTGTGCTATATGCAGTTTTAGTCCTGCATTTAAGAAACAATGTACTGTCAATGGAGGTGATTCAAAACAGGTTCATTGTGCTGATTCCTGGACTGAGGGTTTGTCTGATTGAGAATGGCTAAACAAGTTAAACTTATTTTTTTAAGAGTTCAGAACAGTGAGTGGTGATTTTACTGAAACATACACTATTGTGAGGGAGCTTGATGGGGTTTGGAGAACGTAAACCAGAGACGGAGTTGCCCCATAATTTGAGAGAATTCATATACTTATAACCAACTTTGTGTGTGGGGGAATGAGTGCTTGAGACCTGTTTTAAATCTGGGATAAATGTGTGAGAATAAATAACCTATTTTATTTTAAAACTCACAAAAGCTCCCTGCTGGAATTATTTAATAGGAACTTGAACGCCATTGATAAGACAACATAAACCTCTTTTGTTATAAAATACATTGATCAGGGATAATCAGAAAACACAGACATACTTTTGGTGACAATATTTTCTTTATAGGTCAGAAATATTTACATTGATCTCAGACCTTCAGTGGATGAAGACCAAGCGTGTGTAAACAGGTTGGCTTATTTCCTCAGTATTTTTTCTGTGGCCAACACTTTTGTATTATCTTCTTCAAGATATGAAAGACCTTGTCTGTGATTTTAACTCATGGAGTTTTGAACATAGAAACAGGAAATAGGAGCAGGCCATTCAGCCCTTTGAGCCTGCTCTGCCATTTAATATGATCATGGCTGATTATCCAACTCAGCAACCTGTTACCACTCTCTTCTCATACCCTTTGATTCCTTTAGCCCTAAGAGCTATACCTAACTCAATTTGAAAACATTCAATGTTTTGGCCTCAACTGCATTCTGTGACAGAGAATTCCATGCACTCACCACTCCCCCAGTGAAGACGTTTCTCCTCATGTCAGTTCTAAATGGCCTACTCTGTATCCTTAGATATACACCTGGTTCTGGACTCTTGGTCATTGGAAACATCCTTTCTGCATTTACCCTGATTAGTCCTGTTTAGGATTTTCTATGTTTCTATGAGATGCCCTTGCATTCTTCTAAACTCCAGTGAACATAGTCCTAATCAATCCAGTCTCTCTTCATATGTCAGACCTGCTGTCCCATGAATCAGCTGAGTTAACCTCTGTTGTCCTTCCTGCACAGTCAGGACAACCTTCCTTAGGTAAGGAGACCAAAAATGCACACAGTACTGTGGGTGTGGTCTCACTAAGGCATGTACAACTGCAGCAAGACATCCCTGCTCCGGTACTCAAATCCTCTTGCTATGAAGGTCAATGTTCCATTTGTTGTCCTCATCACCTGTTGCACCTGCATGCTTTACTTCCAGCATCTGGTATACAAGGGCACACGTGTCTCACTGCACCCCTCTCTCTTTCCCAGTCTATGGCCATTCAAATGATAATCAGCCTTACTGTTTTTGCTACCAAAGTTGATAAATACACATTTATCCACATTATACTTCCTTTGTCATGCAGTTGCCTGCACAATTGGCTTGTCCAAATCACACTGAAGTATCTCTGCACCCTTCTTACAGCCTTCCACCCTGCTTTGTGACATTGATGAATTTGGAACCTTTAGCTTTATTAAATGTTTAATCTTGATGATAATGAATGACAACTTCCTTTTAATGTTTCTTTGTCTCTGAAGCTAAATATGCATAGCCATCATTGTACACATTGTTACGAGGAATATTTGATTGCCAGTCGATAGTTGTAGTTATGAATGTCTCAGTAAGAATCAGTCCTCTAAGTGCAAATGACTCATTCACTTTGTACTTTCTGAAGAAATTGGAGTGGAGCCTACTCTTCCATCATGTTTTCCATATCCTTTCAACCCATTCAAATGAAAGGGACAAACCTACGTTACAAAATATAACAAAGGCATCCTACCTTGTGACTTTTTTTGGCTTTGCAGAATTATAATTGCAAAATGCAATGTGTTTGAAAAAAATCAAGAGATGTTGCTTATTTTTGGGTAATATGCCTGCAGAGTAATTTTGCATTTATTTGCCTTTAGAACATTTTGTGTTTCTAAATAATAGCAAAAATGATAGGTAGTATCTAATTTCTGTCAATTTTACCCATTTCTTTTGGGGCTCCCTAGAAATTCTACAAAGACGTATCTCAGACTCACCCAAGTATGAAACGTAACCATTGTCTTTGTTTACTGTTGAACAGGATTCATTATTTATAATCATATTTTAAATTTAAGGAAGAACTTTGATAGTTTGAGTAGTTCTTGACATTATCAAGCCATCACATGATGCTTCACAGCCAATGAATCACTCAGGGCTGAATCTTACTTGTTTTAGAAAAGTGTCACTTTTGTTGAGGATGAAGGAAGGTTTCTCTTCATGTATCCCACTGAGTTTTCTCACACTATTGTCCTAAACTCACCTCATTTACTACTACCACACCCCTGCTCACCATTCTCTTCTGATACTTGCCCAATTCTCCCTATTGCTGCGTACGGAAGTTCTTATCACCACTGGAATCCCTGGCTCTGGCAGAATCTCTGAAAGCTCCTTGTGTATCTAAAGTGCAGCACTAAAGTACAGAAGTATTTTTGAAGTGGATCAAAGATGTACTATGATGGTGTGACAAGGCAGGTATGTTTTGGATGCCAACACCTCCAAATGTGGAGTCATTGGTGCTGGATATCCAAAATGGAAGTCTGGAGGTACCTACTCTGATTTTCATGTCTGGAATTCTTAGAGTATAGCATTGATCTGGTATGTGCTAGGAGAATGCTTATTAATGAGCTGCAAATATGTAATAATTAAGGTGATAATGAGTGATAATTTCCATTTAGTATACCTCCTGCCACTTACTGGCGAGAATCTCCTATCGATGTTTGGAACTTAATTGGAAAATGTGACTTGAGAAAGGCCTTGCTTGACTTCCTTGCAATTTTCCCAATTCTCTTGCCATAGCCCACATCATTCAGGATGTGGGAAGATTCTGCCTTTAGAATTTAATTAGGGTGCTATTACAACAGTTCGGTTGGCTGGACATCTGGCTTGCAATGCAGAACGATACCAGCAGAATGTGTTAAAATCCCTCACTGGCTGAGATTACCATGAAGGTCTCTTCTTCTCAGCTCCTCCCCTCACCTGAGGTGTGGTGACCGTCAGGTTAAACCACCACGAGCCGTCTTTCTCTCAAATAAGGGAGCAGTCCTCTGGTCCAGTAGGATTATGGCGACTTTATTCCCGAATCAGTAAACGTCAAAGTAACATTAGTATGATATGCAACATTCCAAGCCATAATGAACAATGTTTATTGTGTGAGAATACATTTATTAATGAATATTTCTTAGGTCAACACTATTATATTAACAATTGTACAATCTTTACCTCCTAATACACTCATAAAAGCAATGGATTAGTCAGATGGACAAAATATTTTTATTCAGTTTTGAACAGGTCTTAAAGAAATGATTTGGCTCCAGTGTTATAGCTGACCCATTCATTTCTATCTGACTTTTTTTTTAAAAAAGCATATATTTGACCTGAACACCGCGATGATGTGGCTGTCAATCTCCAAAGTTCTCAGCTTCCACTGGCTGTAAAATACAGATTGGGGTTGCATTCATCCAATCAGGGGCAACTATTTTTTTTCGACGTGTGTCCCATTTCCTAAACGAATGAAGGATTTGAGTTGGAGCTGTAGGCTTTTTTTGTGTGTGAAGGGTGTCGGTCGGGTAATTAGGTCATGGTATAAATTACAAATCAGGATGGAACAGGAGAGAAGGCAGGAAAGGAAGACCCAAATAGAAAGGGCTTATAATTGTTTAACATAATTATTACAGCAACAAAACTACTTATAGAATATTTTTTATGACTGTGGAGGCGGGTTTGTTTAAGCATAATTGTCGAAACTGATAGTCACTGCCTTAAGAATATTTCCCGGAGCTGCCAGGAATCCAAGAGGGTTTGAATGGAAGACATAACGATCTTGTCACGCTAAGAGCTTGTGATGGAAAATTATTTTTCATTACCTGAAATGAACTAAAATAAACAGATAAATAAATATACAGCAAGAGGTTGCGAGTCCACACACACACACACAAACAAAGGCGACATCAACATGAATGTACACTCTGGTATTGTGTGGAAGCTCCGCCTGCAGCGTGACTGTCGGTGGGTCAAGACGATGTGACATGTGTAGCTGGTGAAATCCAGTATTGCGGCACATCACAGACAGCAACAAGGAAACAACAAAGCTGCAAACGGGTTACAATGTAAGTCAGCTTCCCTCTCCCTCTCCTCCCCAGCGCAAAGCTGCAGTTGTTGAATGACAGCAGCAACTTACGGGTTTTCTTTCAGAAAACAGAGAAAGAATCTAATGGGGGAACGTTTCCTGTTTGTAACACTTTCCGGATCCGACGTTTTGGGCTAAAATGACAGTTATCAGGGAAATGGGAAATAACGCGCAGGAAACGCAACGTAGTCAGGCCTTTTGTGTAGTGGCTTTCTCCTGGATCCTAGTGCGACTGAGACTAGATTCTCATTCAGAACAATTGTACTTTATACAGTATATGGACAGACTTAATAGATACGACCATACGCGTATTTGATCACCTTTTTAAAAAAAAAATACAGTTCAACAGTTCTTCTAATGTATTTGATTGGTTTTAAGACAATTGGGACATCCTGGGATCGTTAAAGGCACTATGCAGATACAAGTCGTTTTATTTAAGTGTGCATGCATGCCTTTTGAATTATATATTCAGTGCAACTAAACAAAAAGGGTTAATCTGACTTAGTAGAGCCAGTAATTTATAAGGGTTGAATGCTTCTGTGAATGCCTGTAAACATGACAGGAACATGGAAAGTAAAAACTGAGAAAATCTTTAGCACCAAGAGAACTTGTGGGATCTAATTCTTAATTGCTAAACTTATTCTGTACAGGTTATGGAAATATAATTCAATAGCTTTGAAGAGTTCAGACATATTAGGAGTCTATCATCCTGTACTGTTAAATCACAGGAAATTGTTTATGAACATGGAGCAATGTTAATATAACTATTCATTTGCTAATTCAAAATGTCTAAATGAGGGAAAAGACTTCTGTTGATTTAATTTTCACTTTAATGACAACAAGAATTGGAGATTTAATTGTATTAACAATTTGATCTTTTAGTAGATAAAGCCTAGATTCCCTAGAATTTAGAAGATTCAGCGGTGATCTACTTGAAATATATAAAATTCTCAGGGGCCATTGTATGATGAATTCTGGAGCAATTTCCTGTGGCTGTGAAGCCAGGATTAAGGTTCTTGGACTGAGAATTTGGCTATTTAGAACTGAGATGAGGAGAAATGTCTTCCCTCAAAGTGTTGTCTATCTTTGGAGTTTTCTACTCCAGAGTAGTTCAGTTATTGAGTATATTCAGGACAGAGATTGATATATTTCTGGATACTAAGGGAATTAAAAAAAAAAATCACCATAGTCCTACCAGACCATAGGGCTTCTCTCTCATTAGACAGAGATGACTGGTGGTGGTTTAACCTGACGGTCACCACATCTCAGGTCCCTCACCTGGAGTTGAGAAGGAGAGTCCTTTAGGGTAACCTCAGCTGGTGCAGGAATTCAACACACACTGTTGGCTTCAATCTGTATTGCAATCCAGCCATCCAGCCATCCAGCCAAGTGTGCTAACCAACCCTCACTAAGGGAATTAAAGGATATGGGAATGGTGCAGAAAAATGGAGTTGAATTGCATGATCAACTATGATTTTATTAAATGACGACAAAGCTCAAAGAACTGAAAGGCCTACTCCTACTGCTGCTTCTGTCTTTGAAGTTTTAATGATCTTAACTTCAACTGTTATTGATTCAAAGCCATGCTGTATCCTAAAGAGCATATTCAAGATAATATTGTAAATATAGTCCTTACAGCATTGAATTGTAGGTGTACTCCATTAATATAATAGTAATGTAATTTTTTAGTAGACAAATGGTCTGATTATGAAACATTTGTTTACAGATTCATAAGTGTAGGTTAGGAGTAAAAGTAGTGCCAGTAGCAGTGATTACTGATTGAATTGCTGATTTTTCAGATTGAACTTGTATTTATATGTACAATTACATAAGAAATATCAATTATACTTGCAGTTAAAATGTAATTGAGGACTCCTGTTGCTTTGGATAGACAAGTCAGTCCAGGTAACTTGGAAAAAAATGTGTGGTAACATGTAATTTAGGAGACTAGACAAAACAGGGAAAAACAAATATTTTAAGTAGTACTCCAGCGTCTTTTTGCAGGAGGAACATTCCAAGGTGAAGTGCAATCATGAAATACATAGGGAGTACTATATACAGCAAATGAAGTTGTTTTTTTAGTGATAGACTGCTTGGCCAATAACTCCAAATCTTTCAGGTAAAATACACTTTCACTAAATTATTCTTACGGATCAAAAGCACAATTTTATATGTAACTAGTAATCTCTCATGCTGTACCTGTGTCATGAACATTGCATATGGTTTTCAGATATAACCCAATGTCCAATATTTTTCTCTTATTTTTATGTGGTTTAATGTTACATTTTACCATTTAACAGTAAAATCAAAACAAATTTATATGAAACAGAGATACATAGTTGGTAGGAATAAGGGTTTTGCTGCTGAATAGGTTAAGAAGTCACACAGCACAAAACTGAGGCATTATAGTGCCACCAGTAGTATGCAGATATAATTGGAGTGTGACAGGTTTACATGGGTAATTTCCATAATAAATATGGGCATGGGAATTTATGATGGCAATATATATAGACATAACACCCTGAATGCTCATAGATCTTCAAATCTATTATTTTGGAGTATCAATTAGTCAGAAGGATGCAAAATGTTAATATATTTCCTATCTATGAAACAAATTGCTTTGTGACAATATCTCCTCACAGTTTTGTCAATATTTTGCACAGTAAAATCTCTAGCATTACTGTCTAAATTCCTCTGCGCATACACGTCTCTCTTAACTTTTGAGAACAATTGAAAGATTATGTTTTCAAGTCCGCTTTAAGTCACATCTCTTAATTGTCATGCTGTGACCTCATATTTATTTTTTTTTTTAAAGAAGTGCTATTTTTTCTTCTCTTCTCCATCTTGCAATGTGAGCTGCTAAGGCCGTACCGTACAGTGAATGCTAGATGCATATATTCGGTGTCCTCCTTTCCAGTCAATTGTAATTGGCTACTGCAACAACCCTTTATTGCACGTTATGTTTTGTGGAATGTGACTGGCAGATAGGGAAGTACAGTAGCAAACCAGAAATGCTTACTAATGTAATCCAAATAGTTATTTTCCCTGGTAGAATAATCAATAAGAACCAAATAAAATGCTGATGTCATGAGTTCTTTACTAATCAGAAAGTAGAAAAATCACAGACATTACAAATATAGAAATTAGTACGGAAAATATTCCCATATTTAAAAAAAATCGTTCAGCAGTATTAACCCCATTATTCATATTATTAAAGCATCACTATATAATTCACTGTAACTTAAAATTACACAGTCACTGGACTTTGTGTTGCTTTTGTGGACAGGATTTTACTGTCAATAAATTATGTATTATTATACATACCTGTTCAGGGATCTTTAATTAAATAACAATTTTACTGTGGCCTTTAGAGACAGTATCAAAATATTTTATATGGTTTCTGAGATGCTCCATTGTAACTTCAGAGAGAATTTTAACTGCTTTAGAGATGTGTTATTAAACTAACCAAGTGTTTTAGAACTTTTTAAAATGCCTTCCAATTATCTTTGTAAGTAGTGGTTTTAGATTTTAGATCATCCTCCTTTCAAAAAGTCGTAGTTCAAAGATTTTTCTTGCTGTTATTACAGTTCATTAGAGTTTCTCATAGTACATTATTCCATATTTGCACTCAATATTCACTAATGAACAACCATTAAATGTAATTTCAAAACATAAAGGGTCAATGATTTGCCTTTTAAAATATAGTTAGCAGTGACTTTTTAGAAGGGGTTGGGAAATTAAAGTATACATTTCCTTAGTAATTTAGTGCTGTTATTTATAATCAAGATCTTTCAAAGCATTACATCCATATTGTTCTCTTTATATGGTAAATAGGTTAGTGGAAACATTTTTCATTCAATAATTTTTTTTGAAATAGCAGGGACAATAAGGTAATTTTGGGGTGTTATCATTAATACAAATATGGATACTATAATGTTTCGGGAGACTGGATGTTTTTCCGTTCTCATTTCCTGGAGAATCAAATGAGCAAATAAATTCCCCTCACATTCTGTGCCTTGCACAATTTCAAAAACATTAATAAACTTGAAGTGCAAAATATGTGGACCTGAGAGATAATGCTGAGAAAAAGCATTTACATTTTTACATTTTCTGTTTAAATTGAGGGCTTAAAGAAAACTTAGCTGTACCAATAAGTGAACATTATAAAACAAAGGCAAGCACCATGTATATTCTAAGGATAATATGCTAAGCAGCCTGCACGTTGTAATTCCATGCGGCGGACTGTAGGACCCAGTGAGAGCCAATTAGTCCGGTGTAGGTTGATAATGCAGAAGGATCAAGCGATCAGCCTTTTGCGATCAAAATGATGCAATCAAAGGTTTAAATGTTTGCAATCCATCAGGCGTCTTGCAATCTTTGATGCTGCATTCGGTACTTTATTCCCGGATTTTTATTTCAATCTTTGTTTTTTTTTTCTCCTCCCCTTTTGTAGATGGAGTGCTATCAGCCTTCCTGAGGGCGACAGAAGTGCAACCATGAGCTTTATGCTGTAGCTGTTTCTTTCTCCGTCTGTGTGCCGATCGGGAAGAATGCAGCTCTGGAGAAGGGGAGCGCTGCATTAAACATGATGAAGACCGATACATCCTCAGCATCAGCAGCAGCGAGCCTGAGGAGCCCTTCTCCCCACCGCAATGCCTATGAAGCAGAGATTCAGGCTCTGCAGCAAAATAGCAGCGACAGCAAACCCACTGCCAATGGAGAGCAGAAAGCAGCCGAGGATGCCGAAGGGAGGAAGCAGAGCCGGGGCAAGAAGTACGGATCCAATGTCCACAGGATCAAGAACATGTTCCTGCAGAAGATGGGCACCACCCCGAATGAAGCGACTGGCATACCAGCCAAAGGCAAGGAAAGGGCTGTACGCCTGTCCCTACCCAGAGCCAGCAGCCTGAATGAGAATGTAGACCACAGTGCCCTCCTGAAGCTTGGCACTAGTGTCTCAGAGAGGGTGAGCCGCTTTGACACCAAGACCGAGAGACCCTTCTCCAAGCTGCAGGAGACCAGGAAGCTCTTCGAGAAGAACATCCAGGAGAAGAATGTCTCCAACCGGATCTTGCTGAAAAAGGAAAGGGCTGGGCTCAAGGATAGCAAGTTGGACGTGGTGGTCCGCTTCAATGGGAGCACCGAGTCACTGGACAGCCTAGAAACGGAGGCCATTTCGCCCACGGTCAGTCAGCTCAGTGCTGTCTTTGAAAGCGGTGCCAACCAGCGCAAAGCCCTAGAGCGAGGGCCAAGGCCAGGCACCTGCCCCCTCAGTTCCAAACCACTATCCAGAAAGTCAAAATTAGTTCTTAAGAACCAGCAAGAGGCACTTAAGACAGAAGGTGGGAGTAACAGCGATGGCGATTTCTCCCTTGATCTACCTGGGGCCTCAGGCCAAATCAGAAAAGAAGCTGAGGAACCGCAGTCTGATAAGACTCTGGGTGGTTCCCCGTCTGGAAACAATTTAGCCAGCAAGTTGGCATCACTTGTGAAGCATGGGGACAGCTTGAAAGAAACCAGGTCAATAGCAACTGCACAGAGGTCACAAAAAGTTGAGGAAGTCAGAAAAATTAGGCCGGTGGAAGTGGAAGACACTGTAGTGTCTGATCAGAAACCTGGACCTACGGATGATGGAAAGGAGGATCCAGAACCCGTTCTGAACGACTCTGAAAATGGCACTGGACTCCAACAGGGAGATGCCGTTTTGGAAACTTGTGAGATTAAATCGGTTGAGACCGGAGCCCTGCTCCATGATGCTAGTTCAGAAAATGGAGATCTTCCCAAAGACTCTTTGGATCATTTCCAGTCCTCTCCTTTGGAATCCGCAGAAGGGACTGCGCATCAGGTCGAGGAGTCCTTGTCATCTAAAGCAGATTCCTTTGAAGAGGGTGAGCAGGTTAAAAATGACCTAGATCTATATGATCATTGCAAAAAAAATGAAGATGTTTCTGAGGCAGATATGGTGGATATTAGCGCCTTTAGTGGGGTTGGTGATGAATCTGAAGGAAGTTGTCTGGATGATGATGAGGATGATGCCTTTGAACCAGAAAGTGGCTATTCAGAGATCACTGGATTATCTGATGAAGAGGAACCCATGCCACATAGAAAGATTCGCTTTAGCACCGCATCAATTAAAGTAAGTCCTGATAAAAAAGGAACATGTCCAGTCATTGAAAATGTCTATGAAAGGCTGAAGTTATGTCTTTAAATAACCTGAAGTTACAGGAAAGGATAAGTTTTAAATATGCTATAATTTGTGACATGTAATCTTAAATTTTTGTTGAATTAAAAGTTTTGTGATTTTTGTATCCAGAATGAATATGAACAATTATTCTTCATCTTTGAAATATGGAATTATGCATTAACATTATTTATTATATGTTCTTGGTTATTATATGACAATTATATCAGAATTAAATAACTTAATAGTTAAATAGTGGTTTTAGTCAGTTTCAGTAGTATACAACTTTATCTGGCATTATCAACTTGATGGACTGAACATTAATTATTTTTGTGATACCCTTGTAAATGACTGTTGTGGATTTATAGTCACTTTATAGCGAGGCGGCAGTCTGAATATTTTTTCACAGCAGTAAATGGACATTTTACAAATTTATCAATAATTCTAAAAGGCTGTTAACTCCAGGCACCATGTCATGTGGAAATTAGTAACTGAAATCACTAGTATTCCTATGTGAGGGTGGGATTAGTTTGACTGCATTTGCACATCAAAACAGGACTCTGCCATCAAGTTAGTATCTTATGTTGAAAGGTGAACATGAAGTATCAAGGTAAAAATTTAGGTTCATTTGGATAGTAAATGTATCAATCTATTTCATTACATAACTATACTTTACCTTTTTAAGTTAGTGCATTGTTCCTTCATAATGTATATTGGAGTCTGCTGCTGTAAATTAAGGAAAATTATCATCTGTGGGGATGCTAGGAGTATTTGGGACATAATGATGAATGCAATCTGGAGTAAATTGACTTTTTTTCTTTTATTATAATGAGATGAGTTTAACTATAAACACTGAAAAGTCAAAAACATTGTTTGATAAATCTATAAATCTCATTGGGTAGCTCCATGAAAGCTGATGTGATTCAGTTATTGTCAGATTACCAGTGATTTTAAAATATGTGCACCAGCCATATTTTTGGCCTTATCAGTTGTCAACTGAGAACTATTGAATTTTAGAACTGTTGTCATTTCTCCCTTTCCCCACATTTATTATTCAGAATTGGTCCATTAATTGGTCACCACAGAATTTCCTACATACAACAGGAAGCAACATGACAAGACTTCCTGTGTAAAAGGTTCAAATGAAAATTGAGTTCAGTTTAAAGACAACTTTCAACATAAGCGATCTTGTTTAGTCAGGAATGTTACATAATAATCAGTGCTGAAATTTTTAAGATATTCATAATAAGTTGGAATTTTGTTGATATTTTAACCTACAGAAAGTGTTGTTCTATCAGCTGCAGCCTTGAATTTCTTAGTGAGAGCTATGACGTTGATGAAAGGATAGTTATGGTTGAGGAAGGCCAGTTGGCCAATCACCTCATCCGTCCAAGAAATATGGGTCGCCCCCTTCTCATCGCGATGTCCGGATCTGTTTTAAATACTCTCTGACCTTTCACATGTTCTGAATTTTGTTCGCTTTGCAATTTTTAAAAAAAATCCAAAAGTTCTAGTGCTTTTTAATTTGCATGCTATCTATCTGACCAGTAGTCAATTATTTGTTGATCTTTGTAAAAAAAAGAGTAAATACGAATATCTGTATTTAGCAAGTATGTTGTGTTTGAGTGGATGAATTTTGAAGTACAGTCATCATTGTACACAGACAGGCTATCACACCCTCATGAAAGAAATGTCTCACTTTCAGTTAGCTCGTTGTACACTGTCAACAGAAAAACTAGTATTTTTGTTTTCTTAAGGCAGTACCATCTCAGGATTTTTTCACAGTATTTAATATCTGATTCACAGCTGTGTTCTTGTTGTATGTATGGACTTTCAAAAAGTGTTCGGTTGTTTTTTGGACTGGGATCCATACCCCATGGATGAGTATCTGGACCACAGTACTTTTTAGTATATCTATCAATAATTCAGAATTGGCTATATAGAGCATAGTTTCAAAGGTTTAAAATGATAAGAAACTTGGAAATATAATAAACAATGAGAAAGATAATAAAATAAAACACTTCAGTAAGAAGTAGACAGACTGATCAAGTGGGTAGACCTCAAGACACATACTATTGAACATGGAAAAGTGTGAAGTGATTCATCTTTGCACGGAGGAGATGAATGAAGAGAGGCAATAAATGTAAATAGTACAGTTTTGAATGGTGAGACCCAGGAGTGTATGTACACACTAATCTTTGATGACAAACTACAAAGATTGTTGAAATTGCATCTGGAATCCTTCACTTTATTAGCCAAAGGCATTTTAAATCTGGTTAGTCCTCAGATTGGCTTTTGTGTTCAATTCTGGGTATGAGACTAACTCTTTGAAGAGAACGCAGAAGACATTTACTACAAGGCACCAAGTTTGAGGGTTTGAGTTATGTACAGTGTCTAAAAAATCTGATGTGGTGTTCCTTAGGGCAGAGATGGTAAGGAAGGGATGAGTAATTTTGGTGGAGTAACTGAAGAGAAGTAATGTCTGAAATAACTCCACAGAGGCTGGTATCCTGTCACCCTTTTATTTACACGTGGAACATCCTTGAAACTGATCCAGCTCCCTCAGAGCCAGCTCTCAGAGTATAAGATGTCTGACACTCTGTTTTTATCTGTCAGCCAGGGCTCCCTGATTGGACCAGATTAACAGCCCCAATCAGGGAATTTATTCTATGGTGTCTACCTGGCTGACTTTGTTAGAATAATTACATCCCTCTGAGGACAGAGGCCAGTTCTTTTTTTGTAGCTTCCCCTTGGGCGTTTTAGCACCGGATCAGGTTCCAATGACTCTGCCTCAGATACAGGTGACGTGTAACGCACAGTAGCTTGCTTCTTGCATCAGGAGCATCTCAGAAGAAATTCATTCTCTCCTTCAGGTGGCAAAGGCACCATCCACCATGTCTGTCACAGATTTGGAGGTCTCTTCAACACTTGATGGAGAGGGAGAACCCACCGTTTCGGCCAGCCTTTCCGACTGTTCCGAGGAGCCGAGCATGTTTTGCTCCCTTCCCATTTGTGAGTTTTCAGCTTTCATATGGTCCACGTACTTGTTCAGGACTATTGCACCTACCCTAACTTTATACGTCATGGGACCTGACTGTGCGACGGCCATGCCCCATTCCCATGGTTCCCACACCAAACTTTAGTCCCCTGTATCAAACTGTCTGTCTCACTTAGCAGAATCTTGTGTCTGGCCTCGGTGTTCCTGATGCCGTTTCACCCTCCCTTTCAGGTCTGGGAAGATCAGATTTAAGATCTGGTGCGGAGTGTTCTCCCCATTAACATCTCTGTTGGCAATCCCTGTAGCTGCATAATGGGTGGTCCAATAATTAAATAGGAACTGGGACAGTTTTGTATCTAGTGAAGCTGTAGGCTGTTTCTTTAAGCCTGCCTTCAAAGTTTGGACTGCTCTTTCTGCCAGGCCATTCGATGATGGATAATATGGAGCTGTCCTTATATCATCATCATAGAATCTCTACAGTGTGGAAAGAGGCCCTTTGCCCCAACAAGCCCACACCAACCCTCAGAGCAGCCCACCCAGACCCATCCCCCTAATCTACACACCCTTTAGCATGGCCAATCCACCTAGCCTGCGCATCTGTGGACTGTGGGAAGAAACCCACGCAGACACGGGGAGAATTTGCAAACTCCACACAGACAGTCACCCGAGGATGGAATTGAACCCGGGTCCCTGGCGCTGTGAGGCAGCAGTGCTAAACACTGAACCACCGTGCCGCAATGCTATTCAACTTTAGGAAATGCTCAAATTCTCTGCTGCTAAAGAATGGCCCGTTATCAGTGACCAACACTTCCGGAAGTCTGTATATTGCAAAATATGCGCCAAGTTTTTCTATTGTCGTCCCTGTGTTTAATGAATGAACTCTATGCATGTCTAGTGACTTTGGAGAGGGTGTCCACAATGATGAAGAACACTGAGCCCATGGAAAGACCTGCATAGTTGATGTGTAACTGAGTGCAGGGTTTACCCAGCCATTCCCACAGATGTGGGCGAGCTGCTGGTGGTAATTTTTGTCCATGTTGGCACTTTTGGCACCAGCAATGCAGCTATGTCTGCATGCAGCCCTGGCCACCAGACATAATTTCTCACCAACATCTTCATTTTGGAAACCCCTGGATAACCCTGGTGGAGTGCAGTCAGTATCTGGTGGCAACCTTTGCGTGGTACAATCCCTCATGTTCCCCATAATAAAATGCCACCGTTTACTGTGATAGATGTAAGTTCCGGTACAGAAGTTGGAGCAGGGGCATCTTTGATCACCCTCACTTTATCTTCGCATGGTATAGTTGACTCTAAAGCCCATGTAGGTCACTTGGCGTCCCTGCAAAACATGTTTTTCCCCTCTAAGATGTATGCCGACCTGGGAGAAACATCTAAGAACAATATTCAAGTTCTCTAAGTGCTCCAACTGGTTTTCCCTGTTATTGGCACATGATATAGATAAATGGCGTCCTGGGATAGACTTTGTAAAGTATTCTTCATCGTCCACTGAAAAATTGCACAGGCTGCCCCAAATGGCAGTCTCATATATTGGTACAAACCCTTACGGGTATTAATTGTTGCATACTTCTGGGAATTCTCATCTAACCACGATTGCAAGCGCTTGCGGCTCTTGTCAGACTTCATGAAGGACAGCTCCCCCCCCACCCCGCAGCCAACTTCGCATATGAATCCTCTATGTGAGGGTTTGGGTCTTTATCCAGTTACAAAAAGCAGCTTACCGTTTGGTTAAAATCCCCATAAAGGCGAACTGAACTGTTGGGCTCCATTATCAGTGCAAGCAGTGCTGCCTATTCTGCAGACTGCACTAGTTTGATGGTTCCTTTGCTTTCCAACCTTCTGGTTTCTGCCTCTACTTTTTCCCGTAAGGCAAATGGCACTGGACAGGCCTTGCAGAATCACAGAATTGCTTCCTGCTCAACATGTAAGGTGGCCTCGACCTTCCTGACAAACTTCTGGGTATTTAATTAGGACTTTGCTCAGGCAGCCATTTTCTAATTGAAAAATGTTGAACCAATCTAAGTGAATCTTTCTTTCTTAACCAATTTTGTCCCATCAGGCTTGGGCCCGAGCATTTTTCTACAGTCAATGGTAACAGAACCAGCTGCTTCTCATAAGAGACCAGAGCCAAAGGTGTACCCCTAATCTTTAGGAGGGTCCCGGATATAGCTTCTCAGTCTAGCGGCGATCTTGCACAGACCTAAGGGCTGGAGTGCAGAGCAAATTTTGTTAAAAATTGGTTCTGCAATCACTGAAATGGCCAAGCTGGTATCAACCTCCATTAGAACTGGATGACCATTTAACCAGAAGTTTATTTGATTGGTTCTGATTGAGATATTGCTAAGCAGTTTAACTGTTCCAAACCAGATGTAGGTGGACTTTTGAGGGTTTGCGCTCTCCTGGATACCAGCCTATGAGTTCTCTTACTGAGTTTAGGTCTGGTGGGGCTATTTGGCTGTCTTGAGTCCGCATATCAGCAGCAATTACAATCGCTTGCCTACCCAGCTCCTGAAGAAAACTTGAACTGTTTGGCTGAGGTTTAGTCTTGTTTCAGGGTTTTGGTATGGGCGGACCTAGAGTCAGTCTATTCAGGGTATGTCCTGAGTGAGGCTATGCAATTGCCTTCACTCACTAGGTGTTCTTGAAGCTCAGTCAGTGTGGCGAGGGTGTCCACTTCCATCAGAATACCCTGCAACTCATATGCTCCACTTGTCGGATTTTCTAATGATAAAGTGATTTGTAGTTCCTGCTTGAAGTCCACTTGGGCTTCAGCTAGTAGGTGCTTTTGCACGGTTCTGTCATTAATCCCACATACCAAACAGTATCTCAACATCTCATTCAGGATTAAACCAAAGTCACATGCCTCGACCAGTCATCTTAGCCTCATCAAAAGTATCATTATGGATTCCCCTGGCTCTTAAATTGCCAAGTAAAACCAATAGCATCTCAGAATTAGAGGAGTTTTGGAGTTGTAACATTCCTTAACTAAATCCATCAACTCTTGGAAGGTTTTAGGAACTGGTGCCTCAGGGAAAGTTACGGTCCTAATAATCGACGAAACTGCCAGTCCACAAGCTGTCAGGAGAATTTCTCGTCGCTTTTCACCTTCGCCAGTGCCATTTGTCCAGAAAAAATAATAAATTCTTTCCACATACTGGGCCCAGTTTTTGATGGCAGGATCAAATAAGTCAAGCTTCCCAAATACCGGCAGAACGTCAGAACTGCTTCCCCTAACTCAAAGACGACTGTTGCGAACGAATTTCTTCAGGAGTATGATTCAATCTTGTTGCTACTGAAATAACTGCACAGAGACCTGTAACCTGTCACCAAGTCACCCTTTATTTATATGTGGAATGTCCTTGAAACTGATTCCATTCCCTCAGATCCAGCTCTGAGTGAACAGAGATGTCTGACACTCCTGTTCTTATCTGTTAGCCATGGCTCCCTGATTGGACCAGATTAACAGCCCCAATCAGGAAACTAATATGCTGTGAGGTCCATCTGGTTGACCTCGTTACAATCACTATAGTGTCCATGGAGAGAAGGGCTTGTCACGATAGGACACAGATTTAAGGGAATCAGCAAAATAACTAGTGGTGACATATGGAATCTTTCTTTTACCCAGTGAGTTGTTGTATGGAATGCTCTTCCTGGAAGAATAGTGAACGTAGATTTAGTATTAACACCCAAGAGTCAACTGGGTGAGCACTTGAAGGAAAGAATAATTACAAGAACATTGGGAAAGAGCAAGTGAGTGGGTCTAATTAGATAGCTCTACCGAAGAAACAGCACAGGCACAATGGGTCTAATGGCCTCCTCCTGTGCTGTTTTCAGATATTACGATATCTTTATATATGATGGATTAAAGTAAAGGAGAAACAAATAAACAGCAAAGCAAATACACTTCATTAAATTGGAATTGATTTGCATGGTTTCTGGTATTCAAAATACAGCTGTAAGGAAAAACACAACCCGTGCTTGTTTGCCAGTGAAGCTAATAACTTAGCTTGGTGTTTGAAATGTTTTCTTCAACTATGTTAAACAATGTCAATTAAACTAATTATATCAGCACTTGATTGCTGAAACTGTTTCAGTCCAGTCCTGTTCCTTCGCCAGACTGTTTTGTCTTAGTATTTAGGGGAAGTAGTAAACTAACCAAACTTTGAAGTAAGTGCTTAAAGTTGATCTTGTTAGGAATAACCTGCTATCAATCTTGCTTTATGATGTAAACAGCCTCTAATTAAAGCTTGTGATCTATCATGGGTCAACATTTGAAATGTTCAGTTATATTCATAAACTGTTGCGAGGATCATGGTTTTGTCTAAAATATTGCATTGCTTTGTGATTGTCAAGAAAAACACCTGCATTTGTGAAAGAGGTAGTAGGAGCTGCCGATACTGGAGAATCTGAGATAACAAGGTTTAGAGCTGGATGAACACAGCAGGCCAAGAAGCATCAGAGGAGCAGGAAGGCTGACATTTCGGGTCTAGACCCTTCTTCAGAAATGGGGGAGGGGAAGGGGATTCTGAAATAAATAGGGAGAGAGGGGGATAGAAGATGGATAACGGAGAAGATAGGTGGAGAGGAGATGGACAGGTCAAAGAGGCGGGGATGGTGCTAGTAAAGGTGAGTGTAGGTGGGGAGTTAGGGAGGGGATAGGTCAGTCCAGGGAGGACGGACAGGCCAAGGAGGTGGGATGAGGCTGGTAGGTAGGAGATGGGGGGGGGGGGCTTGAGGTGGGAGGAGTGGATAGGTGGGAGGAAGGACAGGTTACGGAGGTGCGGACGAGCTGGGCTGGTTTTGGGATGCGGTCGGAGGCGGGTAGATTTTTGAAGCTTGTGAAGTCCACATTGATACCATTGGGCTGCAGGGTTCCCAAGCCAAATATGAGATGCTGTTCCTGCAACCTTTGGGTGGGATCATTGTGGCACTGCAGGAGGCCCAGGATGGACATGTCGTCCAAGGAGTGGGAGGGGGAATCGAAATGGTTCGCGACTGGAAGGTGCAGTCATTTGTTGCGAACCAAGCGTAGGTGTTCTACAAAGCATTTGTAAAACACCTTTAATGTATGGAAACATCCCAGAATGTTTGCTACGCAGATGTGCAATTAGACAAACATTGACACTGTACAATAGAAGGGATATGTGGGAAAGGTGGTTCAAAAATTGGCCAAAGAACTAGGGTGTAAGGTGGGTCCTAAAGGAGACCCAGAAAAGTGGACCAGTTTATGGAGGAATTCCAGAGCTCCGAGCATAGCTACCACTGATAAGGCAGAGATTGTGAGGGATGTGTAAGGTGCCAGGAATGGATGGAGACACACTCCATCCGTGTGGAATTCTATTAGAGAAATAGAGAGGATCGAGCCATCAGAGGGATTCGAGATGTTGGTGGGTCAGGAATTAATGTTGACTGGTGAACAAAGGGGTGAAGTTGGATACAGGCAACAGAGTTTTGGGTGAGTTGAAATGTATGAAGGGTGTAAGATGGGAGATTGGCCAGGACAAGATTGGACATGTCGAGTGGGAAGCTAATTAAAGCGTGTTTGAGTGTTTCAGCAGCTGATGAGCTGAGGCGGGGAAGAGTCGGTGATGTGAAGTGGATTGTCTTCATACTGGATGGGTTACATGGTGTAAAGCTCAACTTTGGGTAATGTAAGCCTCTCAGCGTGCTAACCATCTGGTTCAGTCTGAAACAGTGGCCAGGGAGCGGTATGAAATCAGTGGCAAGGGAGCATAGGCTTGTGGCTAGGGATCAAAGCCAATGATGTTGGTCTTCCCAAAATAACAGAGTCTGGATGGAATTAAGATAGAACATTTTCAGCAAAAACACCACGCAAGGGTTTGCTTGGCGCTACTACTGGAAGATCACCTAATTTCCTCTCTGATGTTTCCACAGAGACTTTTGTTCTGATATTTTTTATTCTACAACTTTATCAAACAGATTACACGATGTACGTGGGCAGCTCTGATGTCTGAGTGCTCAGTAAATCGGTGAAAACTCTTAAAGCTGTATCAGAACACTGTCAATCCAGCACACGTTGTCACAGCAGGTTGTGAGTGAAGGGTTTGAAGTATGATTATTCCTGACATACCTCACTAAGCAACAAATTTCTGCAAATTGCTCCATGATGGATAACTAGCCACATTACTAATTTATGAAAGACATGTTGATCATTCTATATGTTTTGATTAAGTTACCATGTTATTCTTTTTGAAGATGAGCTGAACAATTTTCTCTGATGTCCTAGCTGATAGTTATCTTTCACCCAGTGCCACTAAAAGCAGACAACCTGGTACTTATTTCATTGTAGTTCATGGGAGTTTGCTGTGCACAAATTGCCACATTTCCAGTTGCACAAAACTACTTAGAAAATACTCATTTGGCAATAAAGCACTTCCATGCAGAGGTAATAAAAGGTGCTATATGAGTTAAAGTTCTCATGTTCTACTCATGGTTTGAAAATTTTATTTTGCTTCACACACCATCATAATCTGTGTAGAAGGGATATAAATGTTGCATGCATTATTTGGTGAAACGTATGAAAGGTGAAGCATTTAACTATCGATTGTAAAGCGTAAGGAATCAAAATTCAAAAAAGGCTGTTTACACAAAATCAGAAATTGTTGTTGACATTATTACTGATTAATGTGTCTGTTGCAGTTGTATCATGTTACTCTGCCTTCTATTTTAAGGAAGATTTTTTATTTCTTTTACTTATTTATTTATTTAAAAATATTATCTATTTATTGAAAAAAAAACAGGTTTATTGCATTACAAAGTAGCTGGCAGGGCTATATAGTTTGCTATAATTTTGAAGAATCTTAAAAAAAAAAAAAAAGAGCTATAATTTTTCAGAAAAGTTGCAGTAGATTTAGAACAGAATGTTTACACCCATTCGGAGTAAATGGGTGGAATTCGCATAGGTTCAGTGAAATAATGTACTTCCAGGTTACATTATTATACTGTTCGAACAGAATTGAGAGCAGCAGATGGCTAAAGCAATCCCAACCTAGTAAACCCTGCAAAATCCTTCTCATGGAAGTACTTAGCACAGAACTTTTGCATTCTTGTTACCAGCATAACATCTGATTTACAAGGAGCAAGTCTGTGGAAAGTCACTACATATGAAGTACACGCAGACAAGTAAAAATCTGAATGTTAATTGTGTGTTCATGGTGTTTGAATTTTGTGGTTACCCAAACCAGTTGTATTACTCTTGGATGTCTTACTCTAATACTTTGCTGATTTAGAGGACTTTGTGCAAACATACTTATGACTGACTGTAATATAAGAGTGAGTAAATTGTGCAGACTGTGTAAATAGGTGACAGTGCTGAGTGGCACTTAGCCATAGAAGCTGACTGTTCCTTTTTATTTTCATTGTAGCATCAGCTCCATCCAATTTTGAAGTTGCTCTGATTAATAGTTAGAGTGTAACCCATGAGGAGTTATTGAATTGGCTAGCCTTTTGCCTGAAATGCCTATACCAATGTCAACTGCAGCATTCAGTGAGATTCAATGCCTTGGGTCCTGCTTTGGTTTTTTTCATCTTTTTAAAAAGACAGGCACTTGACTCAACCTCTGCAAATGGGGCTTATGCCTTTTTAGACTGATCACGATAACTACACTAATGGTGGAGATCCTAAGGGAATAATAGGCTATCTGTTGCATTTGGCACATGGGAAATAATGAAAATCAATTTAATGATGGAGGCTGAAATTGTTTTGTTTGAAATTAACAACTTGTTTGAAATTAATGCAGTCATTATTTCAATTGGTTAAGTCAGTGGTAACATTCTGAGATGTGTTGATACAGCTTGATAGTAGTATTTCAAATAGTAATCCAAATCCTTTTACCATCTGCTTAAGTATAAATACAACTTTGACTTCTTAAGACTAATGTTATTAAATAACATTACAGAATTCAAACTGATGTCCTGTTTGAGGTGGCTGTTAGTTTTTGAATTAGTTACAAATCTTATAAAGAAGCAAGATGGTAGTGTATAGTCCAGTAGATCAGTTCCTTGTGACATTTGGCAAATTTTCTTTCCTCTCATCACCTGGTTAGTTTTGGTGCCTGCTGGTTGAAACCTGGTGTCCTCTGTAATTCAAGTGATTAGTTTTTTCTTAACGAGCTGATCTGTCCCCAGGATGTTGCTGACAGGTATTCGAAGCTTCGCAGCAGAGCCATGCCTAGCTGCTGAAAAGGAGTTTAGTACAACCTTTAAGGTCGGTCTTCAGATTCTTACTTGTCTGAGTGTACATCGTATGTGGTAATCTCCTGTGGGATTACACCTTGTAAACCAGGTGTTATGCTGGTAACAAAAATGATATACTTCTGTGCCTAATGTTTCCATGAAGGGGATTTTATAGGGTTTAGTGGGTTGGAATTGTTTTAGTCATAACCAAAGAGCACTGCGTCAGGATTTCTTTTTGTTGAGTTTCTTGGGATTTCTTACCAGAGGAAGCTTGCTAGATTGCTTCTGAGGGGTACAAAGAGTTAGATATGTAGGTTAATACTGGAGTCACATGTTGTCCAGACTGAGGAGTGGCAATCTTTTTCGCTGAAAGTCATCAGGGAATTTTTTTAGCTGCTATCAGAATTACTGCAATTAATACCACAAAATTTTTGGCACAACCGTCTCCGGACCTAACCAGTATCGCTGGGCTTCTGTACTATATAACTTAATTCCTGTCATGCTACATGTCCACATTCTGACTGTTTGCTTTTTCTAATGAATAATTGGCAAAATTAGTTAAATATTGAAGCCCTCTATCAATTAAAATAAATTTGTTTGTTAGTAAAATAACTTGTTTCTTTATAATTTTTTCTCTTTACATGTGTATATGTATTCATGTGTCCCTTTATTTATTTTAAATACATGACATTTTACAGCGTTTGAAGAACCATGATGGATAGTAATTGTTTTTGAGAGGGACCATTTTAACATAACAGTTCTGCCATAACATTACTCACAGACCAGATTGTTGCAAGATGAATCCTCACCACCACTCACTATGTTATTGGGCAGATTTGCTGCCACCAGCCTCTGTCCTGTCAGAGATCTACAGGGCCTCCTTGCTTTA